AATATAAATTACTTCGTTATTGTATATAAATTAAATTATAAAAAATTGAATTAAAAAATTACACAAAAAAATGAAGAATTTCAAATAGTTAATTTGATATTAATATCGATATATTTTTGTCAAATTTTTATAATATATTCAAACATATATTTTATTCAAAAATAAAAACATCATTGTTTTCTTAAAATCACATAGAGCCATATTATAACATCGACTGAGATAAAGAATAAAATAAAATATTAAAATCACGATGTATCTCGCTGCATTGCGCGAGTACGCTTCTAGTTATTCTAAATATGTATCATTATTGTTTGATCCTCCTCCTCTCTACACACACACACACACACACACACACATATATATATATATATATAACAGCAAAAAAGCTAAAATGACCTTGATTTAATGGAGTTAACGAAGACGTTAGTTAAAGAGACCATGGCCAAGACAAATTGATATCATAAAAATCAAATCCATAATAAACATATCACAGGAACCCTAGTTAGAAAAAATTATCGAAACACATAGACTAAATTCATAATTCTCTTAAATACATTAACATATAATAAAGTTTATTTAATTTTTTCAGCTAGTATCATTATTATTTTACCTAATAAACGAGTTTTCAATCAACATAATATTTGTTTAATTTTAATGTGATGTTTTGCCGGATAATCAAAAATTGTATTATAACTTAATAATTTGTCATATGTATCATCAAAAAAACTAAGATAAACTTTGTTACATTTTCGCCAATATATAATATTAACGAGATATATTTTTAAAATGGAAGAGTTCAGATTAAGTACATATTTAATAATTTTTTATTCTAGTTTTGAATTTTGTTAATAATTACTTGTGATTCTGTACCTTTTAAGCCTTTAACATACAATATTATCACGATACTAAAAAAACAAATCATTATTATTCTCAAAAATCGTGTATTTTTCATTTAATATAATTAGAGAAATACAATTTTGAAAAACACGTTTAAAGGATTATGGTGTCAAACGTCTATTAAGGCCTGGAATACATATTTTAGATTGAAAATACACAAACCTGTATTTTGAAATTAAGGGGACGTTTACCAAACATTTACCTGGTAAGCACTTACCCGAAAAATTCAATATTATTATTTACTTATCGGGTAAAATTTTAGTCAACAAAAACGGTTTTTTATGCAACAATTTACCCGGTAAGAGCTGACTGTGGTAAGAGTCATTGCGCTCACTTACCGGGTAAGACTCTCGGTTTTTGCCTCGTTTTTACCAGATAAGATTTTTGGTCCTTATCATATTCATCTGGTAATGTAATATAACCTGCTAAGCGCTTACCCAAGTGAACATTTGGTAAACGGACCCTAAGTTTTCCAAAATAATAACTTAATGACGTCGTTTTCCTTCTAAATGCAATTTGCCGTAACAAAAACCCCATTTTTGAGCTTTTAATAGCATTGTTTACCTTCGTAAAGTTACGTTTTAAATCAAAAATACAACGTAACAAATAACCCATTCCTCACTTGACCACGTTTGGATCATGAACTCAATTTAGCAATATATATTTTTTATTAACCTGGATATCCAACCCGCTATGCGAGTCGACTAATCTCAGGGCGACCATCTGATTTGCAGATAGCCGGAGTCACCGCATTTGAATCTCCGTGGCCACAAGGGGATTTTTATTCATCATTGGATTTGAACTTGAGACCTTCTGGTACTTTTGACATTTGGAACTAAACTCAAACCAATCAGACACCACACTTATGTTTTGATCTAACAAATTAAGGGACAAATCACACCAAACTTGCTAGGGTTCATTCCATCAAATCCAAACAGAAAATAACAAACAAACAAAAAGGGTGGTTAAAAGTGAGTAGGCTGACCTAATGCACAAGAGATATGACTTGGAAATCTTAGCCACAAAGTAGTTGCCTCTACACCTATAAGTAGTTGTACAAGTAACTACATGGTTTAATAAATGGTTATTGAATGGTTATATTTTCATCGAACTTTAACAAGATCAGTACTTAATATTAAAGTTATCTGTTTGTTGAGCCGTTATAAAGTATTAACAGGTGCCTACCTAGGTGCACCTTCTTTATACCCAGCATTAAGCATTCCAAGTAAATAAAAAACATAAAACAAGAAATCTCTACCGGACATACATAACGCTTTAGCTAGTACACGGAAGTGGATACCATGATTCTTCTGGACCGAACTGTTTCACGACGTTCTGGACCGAACTGTTTCACGATACACGAAATGCACGTCGTGGTGAGAAAATATGGGTTCGTGTATTTCCAGATAAATCTTTAAGTTCTTGGATGATCATATTCTATTTAAATCTGCTCGTTGTATGGATTTTAATTTCAATATTAAATATTTTATTGAGGATGGACCCCATTACTTAGTGTAACCAATCATGATCTACATTCTTAGACTTCAAGTTATAGAAGTTTATAGGTTCCATTTTAAATCACCATTTTTTTTTACAAACATATTTTCATAAGTTTTATATAAAGAGACCTAAACAACACTTATCTTCACAAATTTCATTCCTTCTCTTCTACAAAATGAATTCTAAGCATCAAATCTCACCACTTTTCCTAACAATCTTCTTCTTGCTTGTTTTAGGATGTACTGCTTCACCGAGAAAGAACATTCGCTCTCGTCGTCCCTGTAAAGAAATGGTGTTTTATTTCCACGACATTATTTACAACGGCAAGAACTTCAAGAACGCAACTGCAGCCATTGTAGGTTCACCGGCGTGGGGAAATAAGACCATTTTGGCGAATAATAACCATTTTGGGAACGTGGTTGTATTCGATGATCCTATCACGATGGACAACAATCTACACTCGCCTCCTGTTGGGCGAGCACAAGGGTTTTATATCTATGACAAGAAGGAGATTTTTACTGCTTGGCTTGGATTCTCGTTTGTCTTTAATTCAACTGCACATAAGGGCAGCATTAACTTTGCGGGGGCTGATCCTTTGATGAACAAGACAAGAGATATTTCTGTAATTGGCGGAACTGGAGATTTCTTCATGACGAGAGGCGTGGCTACCATTATGACAGACTCGTTTGAAGGGGAAGTTTATTTTAGGCTTCGTGTTGACATTAAGTTCTATGAATGTTGGTAATTGAGAAACTTTTACTTCTTTATTTTGTTTGTTTCAGATTATGACAGAAGTTCATGTCTTTTTCAACAAGGCATAACAAATGCCAAATTTTCATGTTGTTACATTTCTGTTACGAATCAATCATTTACTGTTATATTTCTTTTTATGGAAATAAAAAAAAATATGAAATTTTCTTCGTTTGATCAATATCTTGTATGTTGATATCTGGGGCATTTTTACACATTTCTAATGAGGACCCACGTAAATATGATTTTTTTTTTGTTAATTTATATATTATTTATCTGATAGTTACATACCTACAATATCCATTTAACAATGACAATGAACATAATAATATGAATTTGAATGATACCGATGAACATAAAACATAATAACTATCATTCGAGATGTCGGCCTCATCTTAAATTCAACCCTTTTCTTCTGAGTGAAGTTTTTCAGTACTTTTGGTGCGATCGTAAAATAAACGAAATCACTATCAAATGCACGATTCACATTACCAATTAAAGTAACGTTTCAACTGATCTTGAAATGACGCATCTTTAAATTGAAGGCGGAAAACAAAAAGAAAATGTGTACAAGTCGGATCTAAAAAGAAGTTGATGTGATGCTTAAAATGGAGCTGAATGCTTTATCATAAAATGTTCAAAATTATGTTATGATAATTACAAAATAAAGTATAAGTGATCACATAATAAAATCACATTCAGTAAATTATATATTTATGATATGTTTCATACTACCGTTAGGACTCGACAATCACATGATATAATTAAGTCCATAAGTTTGTGTCATTTTATGTAAAAGTTTGCGAGGGATGAATTTAGAAATACTGTATTTACGATAAGTATAGTGTATCATTTTTTCATGCCGAAATTACAATAATGCATATCATGGCACAGTGGTTTACGGCCGAGAAATCAATTTGTTTAAGTTTTTAATAATTTGTTATGGCGTATTATGACGTCAAGGTTTGGGTTCGCCACCACGTTAACCCTTGTGCCTCCACTCTTTGGCTCCATTGTAACGAGTTATGGCATAGTACAACACGTTATTTTGTAACCTGTGGGTTTTTTTTCTAATATATAAATTGAGGGATAAATGATAATTATGTATGAGACCTAAAACTTAGATAAAAATAAAAAAAAAATTAACAAATAAAAGCATGAAAAAAGTAGTATTTACTCTCATTCCCATACACGAAGACTCGAACACAAATTCTTTGAAAATTGAACAAAGTAGTGAGTTGAGATTCAAGAGATTTAATCCCGATTCTGCAACTCTTATATCATTTTTTATAAGGTTTATATATTTTGTATCAATAATTCTTCTTTCTTTTTTATTTTCTATTATTTAAAACATTAACACATACAACTGTATGTGTGTGTGCATATATATATATATATATATATATATATATATATATATATATATATACTAGTTGTGTACCCGCGCAATGCGGCGGTAGCCATGAATTTTAACAATTTTTGAAGTTCCACTGGTTTTATAAGATAAGATTTAA